ATTCTCGGTTAGTGTTGCCCCATGCATTCTGTTTTGCAGTTTCAGTGACTCAGAACAGGTCAGTGGTGTGGGTGCTGGTGGGAGAGAACGAGCAGAACCAGCGGGAGCCCTGGCACGAGCAGGTGTTTAGGTTGAACGAGAAAGTGCGTGTTCCTGAGGAGAGGGCACAGGGACGTGGGCTCACAGGCCAAGCCATCCAGGAGGAAAGCATAAGGCGAGTATGTAGGGCAGGCGGGTGGAACATGAGGGACACCCAAGAAGGCGAGCTGGAAGGCAGGCGGTTAGAAGCATTTGTATCAGGTCAGAGCACCTGTCAGGAAGGTCGACTGCCACCCAGCACGGCAGATGGGCAGGGCCTTCAGGCATCCCCAGCTTAACCCTGACACCGACATGATGTCGGCACCATCTAAACATTATTTTCTGCCCAGACCCTCCACAGATCGGGTGGTATAACACATAAACAGTAATGTGAGCTGCGAGATGGCCCATCCCCACAGCCACAGGTGAGGCCTCTGCCCCTGGCCGTGTCCCTCCAGCCTGCTACAAGGGGGCACGCCCCACGTTCTGGTTGGCGCGGGTGGGCGGGACCCCCGTAAGGCAGAGGCGGTAAGTGAGCAGCCCCCTGCGGGTAATGGCTGCTGGCCCTGCAGGGTGACAGGTTGAGGTCACAGTGGCCACAACATCCACTGAGCTAAATTAACAGACAAATGTAGCACATATTTCTTGGTAGATCAATGGCCAGAGATATTTTATTTAAGTGCTGCTAGTGAGGAGGGATTGTAGCGGGATTGCTGATGGCTGCTGTAATTAAGATAGGAGTCCAAGTTTCAGAAGAGATTGTGAAGATTGGTTGAGGATTGTCAATGGATTTAGGAGAACCAAGTTTTAAAACTTTGGAAAGGACAGAATCCAGGGATGAGGGGAGTGCTGAGTCTTGGGGACCCCTCTGCTGGAGTGAGGAACAGTGGCTGAGCATTGCTGAGGGGACCAACAGCCAGGCCAGGGTCTGATTTCCGGGAGGAGTGCATTTGGCATAGCTCATTTCTGTCATGGTGTTATACAGCATTTCTACAGCAGTAGCCATCATAACAGAGCTATGGCACGCCTTGCATATAGCGAACATTAAAATCTGCCTCCTAGCTCCGTCTGATACTCCAGCCAAGTCTTTAGTTCAGTAACAACTGCAAACTTAAGTCATGCTGCTGATTTTCTTCTGCTTTTGGGAAGGCGTTGGCAAAGCACGAGTGTTGTGATAAAACCCAAAATTGTGGTAACTGGATTGTCCTTCAGGCATTTCCTTCTGTGAAGTGCAGAGGTTGGGGGGGAGGCGGGGGGTCAGGGAAGGGGCTGATTTTCTTTCAGCCTAAGATTAGACTTTGGTGTCACCTCATGCAGAAGTCGAAGTCACCTCATGAGGCAAAGGAGAAGGAGGCAGCATTTGGCTTCTGCAACCCTGACCCTGTTAGGAGCTTTATAAATCCATTGCAGAAAACCGCAGTGGATTCAGGATTGAGTAAGGAGTTGTTGTAACTTGCGGAGCCCTTATGTAACTTTCTCTCTTTGGCTTGACGCACTTGTAGCCTGTATCATGCCAACAGTTGCCAATTCAAATACCAGATGTTGGGAAGATGAGCACACAACTGCTCTGGCAGAATTATGGCAAGGTTGGGCAGCTTGTTGGAGAGAGAGAGAGAGAGAGAAAAGGGATTTTTTTAGAGACTTGTCATTTTGCATGTCAAAGGTCTGTGAAGTCTGTGACTGTAGGAACATGCACAGCCTTCGTTAGAACTGGAGAAATGTTTTTAGCTGACGTTAAGGTGTTGATATTTACCAGTTTGTTTTCTTTTCCACTTTGCATTCCTTTGGCTTTTGTGGAGGTTAGCTTGAGTCAGTACATTGAGGTGTTCAAGGACTTGGATGCCTGTGTTGTATAAATCACAACTCTTAATTACAATGAGTGTGAAAAATGTAGTGTTAACTATGTAATTGAGAAGAACAGGAAGCCTGTCTTTTGAAACCTGACAGCGTAACTTGGACTTTGACATGAATCTGATCTACATTTGTAGGGACTTTATAGGAAGAGTTATGTCAGATGGACACTAGTTTGAATTGGAATATTTTTTATTTTGTTTGCATATGAAGAAAATCTGCCTCACCTAATTAAAATAAATAGTGTTGTTTTTACCCATTAAATCAGTTCGTTAAGGTAAACTTCCAGGAAAGATGGACTTCCTTTACTTTCCCAAAACCACAATTTCCATTGGTTCACAGTTCTATTATACAAGGAATAGTGAAATTTCTGCCTAGAGGAGTGAAGGCTGGGTTGATTTTCAAGATGTTGGTACAAAATATTTTTATTCTTTTTGAAGCAGATTTGTAAAAATTTTCTAATAAGTTCTGCTTTAAAAATCTTAATGTTATACCTTTTAATTCTTAATTTAATCCTTATTAAATCAGATTAACGAAAGAAAGATTAGCTCCAACATCAGGAAAAAAGGTATAGCTGCAACACAGTGCCACATTCTTCTATTAGGGCTCAAGGTTGTAATCTCTTAAAGTTGTAAAGGTGTCTAGTACTGTTTAAATGACCTTAATATTTTCTAATTCAGGAAAATTTACATTTGGTCATCTTTTTCAAAACAAATTTTCTAGAATTTGTAATCATTCTTTCATAAGTAATGTTAATATCCAGCATCCTATACCCACAGTGAAATTTAGCCATCTTGTACTTCTGTCTCTATGTATTAAAACCTTGAATTTACACAGCTGCTACTTAGCCTGCAATACTGATACCTAATCTTTTGACTTTGATAAGCTTCAGGAATTTGGAGAGTTGTAAAATAAAAAATGAAAATTAGTATTTATTCTGGAATCTCTGTTCAATCACTCTGTGTCCCTTTTGAATAACTGAGCAATCAGATAAAGTTATTAAAACCTCATGCTGTAGAAATGTCAAGCTTTCAATAGTTATCTCTGGGTTTCTATATCTCTCAGCATGAGTCCTATGCATTTATTTCATGATATCAGTAAGATGTAATATAATTTGGATCATTTAACTGACAAGGGCTTTACCACATCATCAGGTT